ATATATGTGTGTGTACTGTGTATATTTATTATGTATATATAAATACAAAAACATGCATGTATATATTTAAGAAAAATGTTATGTTTATATATTAAATATATTTATATATAATATGATATAATATAAATATATACATGTAAATATTTCCAAAATATATACTGTATGTGTGTGTATTTATATATACATAATAAATAAACACAGTATACACACACATATATTATGTAAACAAAAACTTTTATTTTGGATGCGATTAATCGCGATTAATCGTTTGACAGCACTAATATATATATATATATATATATACTTACTGTAAGTTTAAGATTTTTATATTTTGTTTTATTTCAGTTAATATTTATTTTATTTGAAGTAATAATTTTTTTATGGTTTCCGTTTTAGCTAATGATAATAACCCTGTCATGGATTAATCATTTATTTAAAAAAATGCAATATTTAATGTAAAAAAATAAATACATAAATAAAAATTTTGATTGCATGTTGACTTTATGGGTGATTTGAACAAACCCGTACTCTAAGTTTGAGCAATAGTAATATAGTTAGCAGACAAGAAAAACACGAATTTCAAATTAGTTTCTGAATTTTATTTACATTTAAGAATACCTGTTATATTATTCATGATTAAGTTGTATCATATTTCAGTGGAAACTGAATTTTTACCATGAATATTTTTACCAGGGTGTATGAAAGCTTGTTTCAGCCACAAAATAAATAAATACAAATAAAGAGGTAAATTTGACTTTTTATCTCAAAATTCATACTTTTTTCTCGCTATTCTGAGAATTTTTCCCCCCAGAATACTGAGATATTAACTCCGAACTGTGAGACGTAAACTTCTGAGAAGCAAAGTCAGAATATAAACTCACAAGAAAAGAGTCAGAACTGTGAAATAAAAGGTCGTAATTAAATTTTTTATTCTGTGGCGGAAACAAGCTTCCATATAGGCAAAATAACGTAGAATCAAGGGTAAACTGAAATTCACAGCATTTTAACACAACTTCTGCTATTTGAAGGCTACTTGCTATTGGATCATTGAGGGTACATGTCATAATATGTGACTACGCATTACGTCATGGACAGCTTACAACCTTCTAGCTATGTTCTGCCTTTAAAACGTGCAGTTTAACTAAGAACTTACAAACAAATGGTGCAACCTTACCTTGGTCCTTAAAACGGCTCAATCAAGATCTCAATATGCAGAAAACAAAGTTATAAGTAGACAGAAAGTGAAAGTAATGTTACATTTGGCCGTACGCGTTACTGAACGCGTTTTGCATGGGGTGCAAAACTGACACACTTCACCTGTAAACGACTGTGTTTGTCTCCACAGGTGTTCCTACGGCGTCAGAGCGGCAAGGTGGATTTCTACAGGAACTGGAGGAACTACTCTGCAGGATTCGGTGACACGAACGATGAGTTCTGGCTCGGTGCGACTCGAGGCCAAAGGCATTATAAGACTAAAATCTACTGGATCCATTTCTAAATCTGGGTTTACTGACAGAGATGTCACGTCTTTGTCTTTCAGGACTTTCAAATCTTCACAAAATCACCTCAGCCGGTCAGTATGAGTTGCGCGTGGACCTGCGTGATGGACAGGAGAGTGTGTTTGCTGTCTACGATAAATTTTACATCGCAGATCCTCGTTCCCGCTACAAGATCCAGATTGGTGCATACAGTGGTACCGCAGGTGAATTACATATACAGTACATTATGCATTTGGTATACACTTTTATCCATTCTTACATATTACACTCTGAAGGCCTGGACACACCAAGCCGACTTCAAAAAACTAGCGTGACGATTTGTCACCAGTGTCGGACCAAAAAGCTGCGCTCGAACACACCGCACAGACTACAGCCGACGGCAAACTAACACGTGCGTTCTGCGCATGCGTGAGAGGAATTAACTGTCTATATCAGCAGCTATCAATAGTATATTCGTCATTCAAAAGGAGAAACCGAAACAAAGATATACGAGATAAACGTAGATATACGAAATGTAAACGAAGCAGCGCTTGCTTACCATTTTGAATATCAGTAACGTTGATAACTTTAATCATTTTAAGCGGCTCATGTTGTTATGAAAACATTCGCGTATTAGAATGATTGGTAAATATCACGTAACATTTAAACAGCTTTCTGTCTGTACCGCCTTCATTTACGTGCTTGTTTTAATCACTTTCGCTTTAATTCTCAGGCACTGACTCGTTCGCTAAACTGAACAACCAATCAGAGCTCTCACTCGCGCCGACGGTCCCGACGCCATGTTGAATCGGGCAAACTGCCGCCGACGTGAGCCCGACGAGAGCCGACCAGTGGAACACACCAAACAAACTAGCCCGACCGTCGCTCGGCGTCGTGTCCCGGCCTTTAAAAATAAAGGTTTTCGCAGTGATGTCATAGAAGAACCATTTTTGGTTCCACACTTTCTAAACATTTGAACAATCTAAAGAACTTTTTTTTTTCCCACTACAAAGAACCAATGGAGAAGTTCAAAGGATGTTAAAGGTTCTTCACGGAACCATCAATGCCAATAAAAAACCCTTTATTTTTAAGAGTATCTCATGCAAATATGAAGATCATAAGATAATTTGACTCTAGAATACATGCATGCTTCATGATGCATCATTCTTAAATGATTTCTAATATTTCATGCACAATGATGGCAAAGGTTTTGTAATATTTAGCTTGTGATATTGTGTCTTTTTTGTCTCTTTTTAGGTGATTCCTTGTCGTATCACCAGAACAGGCCCTTCTCCACCTATAACAATGACAATGACATTGCCGTCACCAACTGTGCCCTGTCCTACAAGGGAGCGTTCTGGTATAAAAACTGCCATCGAGTGAACCTGATGGGGAAATATGGAGACAGCAGTCACAGCAAAGTAAGTCAGTAAAGAGCTGTTTTGGCCAGTTACATTTTACATCAAAATTAATTTCACTGGTTGTTTTAAAGGGGTCATATGATGCGATTTCAAGTTTTCCTTTCTCTTTGGAGTGTTACAAGCTGATTGTGCATAGATAAGATCCCTGAAGTTGCAAAGACTAAAGTCTCAAAACCAAAGAGATATTCTTTATCAAAGTTAAGACTCTGCCACGCCCCCCTAAAACGGCTCATTCTAACACGCCCCCACATATCTACATCACCATGTGGAAATATTTGCATATAATGATCTTTAAAAAAGCATCATATGACCCCTTTAAATGAAAGTTAACCAATGGAAACATGATCTGACTTACCTCAGTAAAACAGACAAAAATATACATACTTTACAATAAGGACCCATTAGTTCATGTCAGTTAATGCATTAACTAAAAATCAGCAGCACATTTGTCCTGGTATTTATTAATTAACAGTAGTTATTTATTGTGTTAATAAACATACAACTGTTCATTGTTAGTTCAGCTCCATTAAATAATATGAACAAATAGAACTTTTGGTTTTAAGAATGTATTTGAAAATTTGAAATAAATATTGACTAAGATTGACAAATGCTTAAGAGGTATTTTTCATTGTTCGTTAGTTCCTTCTGAATGTGGGTCAAAGATGTTAAGATGTCCGCATCAAAAGAAATGTACAAAAGTGATTTTATGTCCATAGAAAGCACATTAGATGTAAGTAAAGTGTCTACTTTTAAGGTTTCAAATAAGTTTTTGGAGAATAAAATGTCAAAATTTGGTTGAAATAAAGTTACGTTGTCATTCAGTGTAACACAATATTTATGTAAAAATTCAAACAACATGCTTATTCTGACATGTACATATTAAAATATATAAAAGAATAAGGGAGCATATTAAATTTGATTGTGTTTTAAATGAGTAAAACATTCTTACTGACAAATGGTCAAAACCTAGGATAGTGGCAAATTTTAAAAAATGTAAAATTACAACTTATTAGTATTTGGGGTGAAAGTAATTAGTCTTTTAATATGTCATAAATTGATTTTTGTTGTAAATATGCCTGACAAGATTGTTACACTGAATGACATTTTAGTGGGTCTCTTCTGTAAATCTGGGAAAAATGTATGATATTGAATTTTTTGCTCAGAAAAATGAAAACAAAATTGCAATTAAATTAAACATAATTTTTTTAAATTTTTTTTGGGGGAAAACAACAATTTAAAGCAGTATTACACTTATTGTTTTTATGCTTAAACCCTTTTCATCTTTGACCCATGTAAAACTATTCAACATTTTTGCTAATTGAAATAAGGTATGTAAATATTAGATGAAAAACTTACTTATTTCAGTTTGTAATTTTCATTTAGCTTAAGTTTTTTAAACTGTAAAATTACTGAACAAAAATAAATGGGAAGAAAATAAAAACTAAAACTGAAATAATAGCCATATTTAAAATAAAGAAAAAAGAATAAAAATGACAGGAGCACATAAAATGACTAAAAATGTAAAAAAATTTAAAGTATTTTATATTAATTTTAGTAATGTACTAGTAAATTTTGAAATGAACTAAGATTAATAAACATGGTAGAAACATAGTATTTTTCCCTTGGAAATATAATCCTTAAAATGTAGTCCAAGTCTTTAGGTTCAATAATGCTACAGATTCCCCCAAATAATATTTGAGTTGAGTATTTTACGCCCCTTCATATACAACAGTGAAATGCTTTGTAACATATTTAATCAATTAAATGAAACCATTTGAATTCACAGGGCATCAATTGGTTCCACTGGAAAGGCCACGAGCATTCGATTCCATTCACGGAGATGAAGATCCGGCCAGTCAACTTCAGAAACTTGGAAGGCAGACGGAAAAGATCATAGACTTTAAATGCTCCTTTTTCTCTTTTCTCCAAAATCCCACACATCTCTTGTCACAGACAGATACGATTAGATCTCCTGAGTGAAACATTTCTAGCCATTTGAGCTCTGCCTTCCATGTCAACATTATTATCATCATTAGAGACAGAATATGTTATAAACGGCCGTGACTGGTGGAGGGTTTTCCATAAACTTGGTAAAAACAGGCACGTGAAATGTGATATTTCTTCCTATAACAAGCATGATTAAAGGAAATCTTCAATGATCTTATACAGTTCTTGTTCAGAAGTGATGTCATTTCCTCTACTGAATCATTACCACGCTCAGGTCTGACATACAGTAGCCAGGATGGTGCAAATAAGTGTGTTCATTTTGTCAGCAAAATTTCAATGTGATTGTTTTCTGCAAGGATTGTATTGTGTATTATTGATCATTTGTTTTAAAAATTATTTTTATTTAGTTTTCTTTCCTCCCCCCCATAGAGTTCTCAGTAACTATAATCCCTAAAAAAAAGTGTTGATTAAACTTGATCTCTTCTCCTGGAATGTGTCTAAAATTGATCTTCAACAAAATAAAAAATAAAAATGTAATTTTTAATGTTGGGATTTTTATGTGTTGTCAATTTCTCTTTACCTATCTACAAAAAAAAAAATAAATAAATAAATAAATAGTAATTTTCACAGAGAAATGTGTTTTTTAACAATTAATAATAACATCATAAAATATTTTTATTTTGAAAAACAAAACTTTTTAATTATGAATAATAATATTATAAAATAATAATAGAAAATAATAGTATAATAATTATATTAATTGTTAAAAAGCATATATATATACACACACACACACACACACACACACACACACACACACACACACACACACACACACACACACACACACACACACACACACACACACACACACACACACACACACACACACACACACACACACACACAAAGACGTATATATTATATAATAGATAATACAAATATATAATTATGTTATTATTAGTTGTTATATTAGTTGATAAATATAGAATATTAGAAACACATTTCTGAATGATAATTCATAATATATATATATATATATTTTTTTTTTATGAATTATCATTCTGAAATGTGTCTAAAACAGCCAGCAATGTTAATTATGCATAATAACAACATGTATTTGTTTGTTCTTCTTGATGAGCGTAAAATCTGAGCAGACCATGATCATGAGATTGTAAAATATCAACAGTAGCCAAGATCAAGGTTTGTGAAATGTTTGTTTTTTTATGTTTTATGACCATTTTTGCATGTTACATAGAAACATACTTGGATAAAATTAAAAGAGATAAAGGTACAGGAAAAACAGCTTTCTAAAAGGTGGAGAAAAAAAGTGAGCAGTCAAACTTGAAATGAAAGTTTGGCATTAATTATTGTAGCTTATTTTTTGGTACATACAACATTTAGTAACTTTTGTTAGCCAGAAGAATTATTCATTAAAAGTAATCAAATGTTTTGAATGAGCAGTCCATTGTTATGCATTTTACAAATCTGTACGTTTATAATTCGCAGTGTGTAATATACTTGAAAAATTAGCTGGGAAATTTCACCTGGCACAGATCTCAATTTAAAGAGTGAAATTAAATTTGGGTTTTTATAAAATTGCACATGTTGAGTTTGACATACATTCAATCAGTTTTCATTAAAGGACAGCTCGTTATCTAATAACTCTAACAGCACTTCACTATGCATATTTGGCACAAATAATGTCACAGAAACACAGTCTAACATATCTTTTTCTAACGTCTGGTATCATTTATTTCGTCCCTTTTAATAAAAGCCCTAAAGCTGAGCTTCATCAGTATTGCAGTTTATAGATCCTCAGCTTTGAGATGAACTATTTCTCATATCAAGTGATCGGATTTAGGTTATCGCAAGGCATCGCATGTACAAATTAACCTGTATTTCTGACAATTTACTAAGAAGAAGTTAAAATTAGTTTTAAACCACCATGACTGCACATGTACAGCTATATAAATAATATGCATTAAATATAATAAAATAGATGTAAACCGCATATACATTTACTGTATAAAGATCCCTCACTTTGAGAGTTTATGGTTATATATAAAGATGCATATCGATCGCTTATATAGTATGAATATATCGATATCTGCTTTCATTTTGTAAGAATAGAAGCAGTGTATCATATAAAATAATCATCGTTATGTTTAATATTTATTTTATCCATCGTATGTCAGCAGTGGTGTCGTCACTCACTGGATGAGTAAACTGTGTGATAAATATCATGTGCATTTGCAGATTGAGGCCTCCCATGCACAGAGAAGTTTCAATAGTTGTCATAACTGGTTTAAAATCAGTGGATTCTGGTTAACTAGTTACACCCCCCAATGCCAAATATAAAAGAGAATTGTATAGCAAACGTTTTTAAATGCTTGGTCCTGTGGAAACATCTCAATTCAGCCTAGAAAATACGCAAACTGCCTCGTACGTCGTTTGGCAGTGAGAAGAATTGAAAAGGAATAAAATACAAACTCGCACTCCATGACGCCGGCAAGCACTACAAACTCAAGCATGTAAACTGTAGAAATATTCTTATTTACAAAAGTAATAAGACTTGTCGTTGTTTCTTATAAATATACAAAATGCAACGTAATAACTTGAATATCCATGTGCACAGGACTCCTGCCCAGGACTGTTTATATTTCACCTACGGTAAGATTTATACGATTTTTAACTATCTTCCACAGATGTATCCAAACACCGATTAAAGGAAATCCACCATCATGACCCTCACTATACTTACTGTGGGACAATTAAAACCCCCTTGACCCTCAAAAAAACAGTTTTGCACTACAGGAGCACAATTTATCCACTTAGCAAGTGTCTTCGACATGCAAATTGCAATTTATAAAAATGCTAAGCAGCGTGTTTGTTTATTAAATTGTCTAATTAGAGGATGCATTCAGCTACTGATAATATTAACGCATTTTACCGTGATTAAATCCATTTTCCACCTACAGTAATTAGTACACTCTAAAAAATGCTGGGTTAAATACAACCCAGTGCTGGGTAAAATAGGGACAAACCCAGCAATTGGGTTGTTTTGACCCAGCGGTTGGGTTAAATGTTTAACCCAACCTTCTGGGTAGTAACCC